AATTTTATAAAAATAAAATGCATTTTAATTTTCTCGAGAGAATCTATAATATTTCTATAAATGGAAGACTGATTTTATCAAACAAATACTATTTCATATTACAAACTCTCACAAACTGAACTGCTTCTATGTACTTGGTTAGTTAACTTGATTTCATATTTAGTTTTGATTTTTGATTTTTTAAAGGTTTTTATTTTTTAGAGTTATTTTTTAGGGAAAAATTATTTTTTAATTTTTAATTTTTTATGAAAATTATTTCTCAAGGAAAAATTTTTTTAAAAGTTATTTTTTAGGGATAAATATTAAACTTTTTTTACGTACAAGTTGGGATTTTTTTATATACTTGGCGTATTTTTTTTTTATCTTTGTTATGTATATTTGTACATTCGAACCTTTTCATGAAGTGGAAACCCTCTATCGGCAAATGTGGTAAAATCTTTGATAAGAATATCCTTAATTAAATCCGGATCTTTTACAATAAAAACGGGTGTCCTGTTAATGAATATTCCAACCATAGATTCTTTGTAGTTGTTGTATATTTCCATCAAATAATCAGGTGTGGATTTTTTCATAAGCATAACGTCTTTAAAATTATCGAATCCTGGTATCGGTTTAGGGCCACAAATGCCACGTGACTTTCAAAAATTAAAGTTCAACGTAAAATACTAATGCACACTGAGAAGTACAGCAGCAATGCCGCACAATATTTCGAAAGATTCCATGGTTCTATAGCAGTCGATCAATATTCTTAAACAATGTTTACTAAAACAGAAAAGAACAATATCTCGTCAAGAAAAATAAAAATTAAACAGTTCAATAAATTAGATATATTTTTAACGAATTAAATATTTATAAAAGCTTGGTTTAATTGAATTTTATCAAGTTTTCTATCGAAAATCCGATGGAAGGATTTCTGACATATGTTTTGAAATAATTGCTTTAAAAATAAAAAAGGTAAAATAATTTTTCGAAATGTTATTATTATATTTGTACGCCAAATATGCTCTGCGAGAGTTTACAAATTGTGCATGTCGCAAAACTCGTTTTGAGACGAACAGCATCTAGAGATAAATGATAATGAAAATTTATAAATACTTGAATGCAACAGCAATAGTATTCTGGCAGTTCTAATTGTAGTAGCTGCATGTTATCAGACCTGTAACCAAAGATAATACTGGCTGACGTGATCCAAGTGCCGTTCAGTTAGAAAGATATCTATATACCCCACCACAAGGAGAACGAGTTTATGCATAACACAATGAATTGCAAATTTCCTCATTTAGTATATCTTGAAAATGCATCTACCGCGTAAAACACTCGCACTACATTAATAATACATACTGATAGAAATCAAAGATTATTATACTTTCTTGAACACATATGTAAATATTAATGTATATAGTAATGTACTATGATAATGCAAGCTGATAAAATAATTGTTTTGGTAAATATAGCGAATAGAGGACCCAGTCCCAATGACCTTGACCTTGACATATGTTATCAAGGACATAATTCTGAGTAACTTTTTCTTCTAATTTCATTGTCGCTCGTTGTTTATTAAAAAGTTATTAACAAACAAAAATTTGTAAAAATCAAGATTTATACATAGTCTGACAATGAAAAACTGGATATTTAAGTTAGTTTACAGAAATAGTCCTACGTATACGACACATATAAACTAAAATAAACACAAGTTTTTACATATATAGGCTGTTCAGAAATAAAATATAAGTATGTTGAATTAATTATTTATTGGATATAATCTGCTCATATTGGATATAATCTGCTCATTTATTTCAAAGAAAACATCAATACGCTTATCAAAAGTATAGAGTCTTTTAAATAAAAATTCAGCAATATAATGTTGATAATTATATTCTCGAGTACCGAAACCAAAGAATATAGACGAGTATAGAAGCACGAATCCCGTACATAAGCGGGTTCATGAAAATTAATTACAAGTCACACCGTTAGATGGCGATACTCAAAAATGTTTAGCTGCCTTCGCTGAGGCCACCAGTCAAACCACGAAACACCAATTCTCGAGTCCCCCCCTCTCGTCCCGCCTCTTCGGTGCGCGTACATGCTATTTAATAATAGTTTTGAAAAAAAGTAGAAAACAAGCTTAAATAGAGAGTAATAGAGCATATTACATCGTATTCGAAAGCTAAAACAGTAAAGAACACTGAGGGAAGGAAGCGAGGAAGATACAACCAAAGGAAATACTGGAAACAGTATAATTCAAGAAGCTAACCTCAAAAATGTAGGCGGGGAAACAAGCGGACATAGCATAATATCGCAATATACGGTAGTACTAACCAGAAGAACAAAAAGAAAGCATAGTGAAGCCAGTGAAATAGACATAACAGGAAGCAGTATGCCCAAAAGAATAGCAAATAAGATAGAGACCGAAAATAGATTTGCTCTATTGGAAGATGAAGAACAAGAGGATGATGAAATGGAAGCAGAAAATACAGATAATGAAGAAAATAACATACAAGAAATCAAACAGAGGAAGCCACCACCACTAGTGGCACATGGGTGCGTACAAGATCATGCAGCATTTGTGCAATTAATAAAACAAAGCGTGGAAAATAATTTTTATATCAAATATCACGAGAATAATGTAGAAGTATTTCTAAGTAATTATAGAGACTACGAAGCATTAAGTCAAACATGGAAGAATAAGGAAGTTAAGTTTCATACGTACACAGCAAAGGATGAAAAAAGAAGGACATATGTACTGTGACGTTGCCGTCTCGCGTGCGTCCGCCGAGTCCCTCTCCGATCGAAAAGCGCGGGCTAAAGGGCCGCGCCAGTCGAATCATTGCGAGAACCGTACCGTTACCTCCAGAGAGGCGTCATTAATTGAGATTTCGAGCGTAATATTAATTTCGTTTATGATTTTCTTTCGTATGAATAATTCATTTGGGAGCATCATCGGAAGAAGGAGCGGAAAGTCGCTGAAGCGTCACGGAAAATACGAGCGCCAATCAAGGAAGACCTTGGAGGGACAAGGAGCCAGCAATTTGGAAATCCAAAACATCTAACGGCCAAACTAGCTACGGCACGACGGGATCAGGACCCGCACACATGATGCGCAACGCACGGGACAGCGAGGGGATCCTCGCGCAAGGACACAGGCCCGGGCGGATCCGGTCCCCGAGGAGGGACTGCAAGTCTGCACCCGATGGCGTGACGCGGTCCCGGAAAAGACGGAAAGAAGGGTGGCAGCGATACTTCCGGCCAAACCGTTCACCTCAGACCCCGCGACGGCCCCGCGAAAAGAGCCCCAGCGAATTATTGTTTGTAATACCGGGGGCGCGCGCACCCCCGTTACGACCGTGAGCGCGCCGCCCGCCGGCCACAGCGCGTGATAACGCGTGATTGGTCGCGATAATACGCACCCTGTGTGCGCAGCCCCGGCTGGCCCACAGGTATCGATTCTGGATCGCGACGATCCAGGAGGAGACTGGCGCGAGCTTGCGTGCGAAATAGAAGCCTAAGCGAGAGGACCGTTTTGGCGAGAGAAAATACGAGAGCGATAGCGAGACGAGAGCGAGCGGAGAGGATCCCGGCGATCGGCAGCTGCGAAAGGACGGACCCGAGGGAGAGGACGTCAACGTCGCTGACCCCGTGTAACCACCACGAGAGGAAAAGTACCGGTGAGGTTATCCTCCGCCATATTCGCCACTCGCAATCGCGCCCGGAATCGTTTCGTTCTGTCGTCGTCGCCGTGAATTCGTACTTTGGTGTACGGGCTAAGCCCGATTCTTTGGTGTAGATTTTCGCGTCACGGCCACGTCGTCAAGCGATTCGAGCCCCGGAGCCTCGAAAGTATCGGTTTCCGCGGATCGAGACATTACCTCGCGTTTTTAATAAACCGTGTGTCGTCTCTCTGGAGATTCGGATTCCGTAGATTATATTTGCGCTGGTTCTCGCACGTCTAGCGTTTAAGATTCGTTCGTACTGTATGTCGGTCGTTTGAGTGTGAGTGTGATTCGCGTCAATTTGTTATATTATTTATGTCTTTCGTTTGTGAATCTTCGCGTCGAAACTGTGCGTGCACGTCCGGTGCAACTTTCCTTCGCGATTATTATATGGGTTACATGAGAGTGTGAATCGCGTAAATTCGACGTATTATATCGGCTGTAAAGCACCGCGTCTCGAAATTGTGAGCGCGTTTTGTGAGAGTTTCCTCGCGATTCTTGCATGAATTGCGTGCGTGTGTGTGTCGAATATTCAATTCTGCGTAATCTGTCCGTCCGAAATCGAAGCATGTCCGCGTTGTATTAATTGCCTGTTAATCTTAAGTTGCGTATTAATAATTTGGCGGTAATAGCGGGCGATAAGGTCGCCGTTGGCGAGGTGATATCGAGAATTGATTCGGACTTACGCCCGAATTATAGACGAACGTAATAATCAATTTCTTCGCAGTGCGAGGCGTAATTCAAGCCGAGCGGAGATTCCGGCCGATCTAACGGGTCGGTCTCGGCGTACGCAGTACGGGGTTTCGCGCCCCGCGTCTAACACCCAGTCTCGCAGCCGCGTTTCTTTTACCGCAGCCGTATATCCGCGCGGTTTATCATTACTATTCTCGAGGAGCTGCGGCTCCCGCTATTATAATAAATCTGTTAATTTCTCTGTTTAATTTACGAGTTTCCTTTCAGTTGTGCTTGTCGTTTCCGTAATTGTCGCCTCTTGCATAAATTATCGCGTTCGATCAACACTCGCCCTGCCCCTCTACCGTTAGGCGAGCTAGTCAGCCCGTGGCGAATTCCGGCAATTCCTTTCGCGTTTATTTCGCGCCTATTTCGTGTTTCGCGAATTGATACGTGAAAGATCGTATCTGGCGCCCAAGTTCGATTCTCGCGATTATCTCTCGGATCTCGTCACGGTACGCGCGGAACTCCTAACATCCCGTTCCCACCTGGCGCGTGGATCTTTTTCTCCGTTTTCCCGTTTTTGTCAACGACCATTCCGCATCTCCCGTTCGGCGAATTAGCTCCTGTTCGTCGCCGCAATTTACACCCGCGCGACGGAGAGAACGAGTCGGCGGCCGCGTTTATCGCTCAGCCGCGAGACGGTAGGAAAAGTCGTCGCAAAAATTTGGCGCCCAACGTGGGGCCACGTTGAATATTTTGGAGGAGCGCAGGAGGCGCTTGGCTTTAAGGAAATTTCGGTTAAAATTAGGCTTCGCGAGAAACGGTCCCTCATCGGAAGAAGGAGCGGAAAGTCGCTGAAGCGTCACGGAAAATACGATCGCCAATCAAGGAAGACCTTGGAGGGGCAAGGAGCCAGCAATTTGGAAATCCAAAACATCTAACGGCCAAACTAGCTACGTCACGACGGGATCAGGACCCGCACACGTGATGCGCAACGCACGGGACAGCGAGGGGATCCTCGCGCAAGGACACAGGCCCGTGCGGATCCGGTCCCCGAGGAGGGACTGCAATTCTGCACCCGATGGCGTGACGCGGTCCCGGAAAAGACGGAAGGAAGGGTGGCAGCGATACTTCCGGCCAAACCGTTCACCTCAGACCCCGCGACGGCCCCGCGAAAAGAGCCCCAGCGAATTATTGTTTGTAATATCGGGGGCGCGCGCACCCCCGTTACGACCGTGAGCGCGCCGCCCGCCGGCCACAGCGCGTGATAACGCGTGATTGGTCGCGATAATACGCACCCTGTGTGCGCAGCCCCGGCTGGCCCACAGGTATCGATTCTGGATCGCGACGATCCAGGAGGAGACTGGCGCGAGCTTGCGTGCGAGATAGAAGCGTAAGCGAGAGGACCGTTTTGGCGAGAGAAAATACGAGAGCGATAGCGAGACGAGAGCGAGCGGAGAGGATCCCGGCGATCGGCAGCTGCGAAGGACGGACCCGAGGGAGAGGACGTCAACGTCGCTGACCCCGTGTAACCACCACGAGAGGAAAAGTACCGGTGAGGTTATCCTCCGCCATATTCGCCACTCGCGATCGCGCCCGGAATCGTTTCGTTCTGTCGTCGTCGCCGTGAATTCGTACTTTGGTGTACGGGCTAAGCCCGATTCTTTGGTGTAGATTTTCGCGTCACGGCCACGTCGTCAAGCGATTCGAGCCCCGGAGCCTCGAAAGTATCGGTTTCCGCGGATCGAGACATTACCTCGCGTTTTTAATAAACCGTGTGTCGTCTCTCTGGAGATTCGGATTCCGTAGATTATATTTGCGTTGGTTCTCGCACGTCTAGCGTTTAAGATTCGTTCGTGCTGTATGTCGGTCGTTTGAGTGTGAGTGTGATTCGCGTCAATTTGTTATATTATTTATGTCTTTCGTTTGTGAATCTT